TGTTTTTTTTTTTTCCACTCTATCTGGCCTTCTCACTTAGGATGTAGATTTTCTGACTCTGTAAAAAACACCAAAATGTCATGCAATATGGAGTGGCATTTGCAGGTAGGTATATAACTTTTTGTATACTCTCTAGGTACTTTCCAAAGCATCTAGGCTCTGAAGATACTAAATAACACTGAAAATTAACATCGTAATCTCCTACATGGGAGCTTCTGTCTACTTTACAATCCAGGAACGCAATTGTAGCAAGTATAGAAATACGTAGATCAGTTTTAGTCTAGCTTTCTCACTCAGGTCCTATCAAGAAAAAAGCAATTTCAATATGGACTTTATTAAAAGCTTCATAAATATGTCTGTGAATCTGTAAAAAATATTTGAGACACTTGCTGATTTATTAGTAGAAGTAGGAAGACCTAAAACCAGAGTATTGGAAGCAGGCCAGTTTCTAGTGCGGGAAAAGTGAAATGATGAGGACAGACTTCAGGAGCAGTACTTAAATGTGGTGCTGAGAAGCGTTTAGAGAAAGAGAAAGAAAAGTGACGATTTGGAAGGAGTCATACTGGAAGGAGCTGCTAGGAGGATGAAAGAAATTGTGATACAGAGAATGATAATGCAGACACCAGCTAGCAGGTGGAGGCTGGACATGGCCTGCTAAATGGCATAACCATCAACAGAGCTATTGAAGAACAGTGTATAAAACAAGTGAAGCATTTGTATAGCTAACCAGTTATGGGAGGTGATAAATATACAAAGAAACTACAGCAATTGAATTCAATATCACGGAGAACCTGTAATTAGGTGAATCACACTTTGTTAAGTACATGAAGAAATGCAGGGAATAGTTTAAAAAATGAATCCATTATGGAACAAACTGACTAAGCACAGAGAATTAATTACAGAGTGAACTAATTATGCAGAGAATTAATCACAAAGCAAGCTAGTGAGAGAGAGGGCAACTGAGGAGGTGGAGTTGAGGCAATGAGTAGTCCACAAAGAAGCCAAAAATATCAGGTGTTGCTGAGTGATAAAAGTGGCCAAGTTTTAACCAAATGGGCTCTGATTGTGCCTCCTGCTGAGTTCTCATCTGTGCTAGGAACATCATACTGCCTTGTGAAGTGCGAGGAGAAAGAGAGAAGGTGATGGCTGATTTTGGCCATGTGAGAAGTCTGTTGGCTTGTGTTTTAGGACTATGGAGATCCTTATTCAGCTCAGATGGTGAAGACTTATGTACAGGGTGCTGGAATTCATAAGCTTCTCCTGAGGTGAGGTGCCTGTGTAAGTTCTCTAGCTTGTGTAGCTGTTGTTTAACTCATTAATACCCACATGCAAAAGGAGAAACCATCTCATGGCTGTTTGAAAATCAGACTTGAAGCACCTTCCAGAAGAATATGGAATTAAAAAAACTCCAAAATAACACGGAGCCTAACTGTGTCACTACGTTTTCCTAAAGTATGCCACCATTTATTTTACATTTTAGAAAAGGGAAAACAGAAAAGTAGTGTAGTATCCCAAAACACAGATTCATGAATTATATCAATCTGTAAATTTAGATCAGATGGAAACAAAAAAAAAATCTATAAAGATACTTCATTCTGTGATGGGATAACATCTGTAATTTAATGTTGCTAAAAAGCCAGGAAACATCAGCTTTTATTTTTTCAGTTGTTGGCTTCTAGCTACAGTTAATTCATATAAGATTTTGTTTTCCCTTAGTTTAGTGCTACAGCCATTATATAACAAGATAATTGCATTAAATGGACTTTGTTCAAAGATTCATTATATGAGGAAAGGAATTGTGATACTTGTTATGACTACACAAAGCACAAGTAAGGATTGCACAAGTTTCCTTGCAGTCTTTTTCCAGTTGCTCCTCTCTCCTTAAATCATCTTTATCACAGAAAGCTGGAGGTTCTTCAGCCTGTGCTTTGCTGCTACAGTGAAATGAACCTGAATTGTTCTCCCAAAGCAAAAACATGAGGTGACAGGAAAACAGGACTTGGTGCTTTTCTCCAGTATTGGAGGATGGAAAAAGAAAGGGCTGCACCACTGATGTTGTGAGGGAGGTAAGAGAGGATATGGCCCAGCAATAGTTGTTGCTTCCCCCATCCTGAGCCTTTGCTTTGACAGCTGCTGCAGCAGACATTCTGGCTCTGGTATAAGCAAGACAGGCTTGGCTGTTGGAGCGGGGAGGAGGGGGAGAAGGAAAGGGACAGAGTAGTCATGGTGAGCTGCTGCTGCTTCCAACAACCAGCTGCTTTGATAAACAACTACCTGCCCTGAGCTCTGTGTTCCTGTGTTCTTGTCCTGAATGTCTTCTGAATGGTGATGGCAAATAATTTTTAATGGCACGGGGCGGGGGGGGTTAACTATTTGTCTGTTCCTTTTTTTTGAAAAAGTTTTGAATGGCTGTTCAATAAAAAATTTGAATGTTGGATAATTTAAAGTCCGTCTCATTTTTGTAGTTTTTTAATAATTATGAGAAATCTACCCAAAAGATACATTACAAATATGCGGTTTTCTTTCTTAAGATGATAAGTACTTTTATTTTTAAGTAAGGTTTCTATGAAGTCAGCTTACAGTAAAAGCAAATAGATTTTTTTTTAATTGAGCTGATTAAAGTGGAGAAACTCATGAAGGGATTAGAATCATAGAATCATAGAAAATTTTGGGTCGGAAGGGACCTCTAGAGGTCATCTAGTCCAACCCCCCCGCAGCGAGCAGGGACACTGCTAACTAGATCAGGTTGCTCAGAGCCCTGTGCAACCTGGTCTTGAATGTTTCCAGCGATGGGGCCTCCACTACCTCTCTGGGCAACCCGTTCCAGTGTTTTACCACCCTCATTGTAAAGAATTTCTTCCTTATATCTAGCCTAAACCTACCCTGTTTTAGTTTAAAACCAT